TATTGGATTATGGGTAAATGATTATAGTCCTCTATCTAATTATTATCTTGTTTTATTTATACTGGCTCGGAAGAACGTCTTTACTCTTTGAAAACTGTTCTAGAAGTGAAGTTGACGCTCTGACTCTAAAAGGGAAAGCTAGCGTCCACTTAATACAAAAGAAAAACTCTGCACCATGTTTATTACCCTGCCCTTCGACTCTAAACAGTCACAGGCCCTTAGACCTGGTGGTGCCAGTATGATTCTTACAAAGAAGGAAAACAGTGATTCTCAACGATTCATTTTTGTAAAGGATTATACATAAATAATCCAACATAGAGAAAAGTGGAATAATACAACCTATTTAAATACCCATTCCAAATGAAGCGGGGTGAGGATATGATTTCGATGTGATATTTTGAAAAGCGAATGTACATAGTGTGCAAGTATGGCATTTGGCGGAGTTTAATACTTACACACTAATCTGCAATTTATTTGTAAAATATTTATAAGAAATACTCTGTTATCGATTTGTAATTTGTACTAAATATGAGTACATGTTATGTCTTTCTCGTGTAACACATTCGCCAGTAATTCATATGTAATTAATATTCTGTCATTTCTCTGTAATATACTCATTTCTATTTTGTGTTAATAAATAGCTTGTTATGTGTTTTATATATTATTTATAATAATCATTTCCATTATAGTAATGTAAGTATATATATGTATATGTATATATCGTTCTGCAGGGCATATTTTAAAGGGGAAGCTTCAAAGAATATGACCACATTTTTTTTTAATTTAAACCTTTTACGCCCCTCATTAAAAAGAACGCAAAAAAAGAATTTGTTTAAATTTGTCAATATTTTATAACAAATTGATAGAATTAAAAGAGAATATTTTAAAATAGCCCAATCCTTAGTGAATAAAATAAAAAAGAATTTAGTACATTCCGTAGTTTTTGAGAAAAAAATTCGTAAGTGAAGCCTATTTTCGAAAAAATTATAAACTTTGTAGGCTCGGTATTCCTTAATAAATTCGAAACCGGCAAAATGATGAGTTAATCCCCCTCCCTAATTTCACATAGACTACAACATATTTTGATTAGAGCAAAATCGCAGATGGTGACGTCCAAAAGTGATCGATTCAACGTGGAATGGCCTGTATACATCTTTCTCTCTTAAATCCTGAGTGTGTTAAAACTGATGTTAATATTTCAAAAATTGATATTAGTAATATACAAAAAATTTACGACAAATATTTCTAACTATTAGAGGTGTACACGAAATAACATTTATTTCATTTAAATTTCTCCCTCGTTTATACAAGCAATTTACAGGGTAAGTCTGAACTTCAGGGTTCAGACTTACATGGATGATCCGGTACTATACCAGTCCTATATTATACATATTTCCAATGATCTTTTATTTTGTGTACACCTTTTATTAAGACAACACACCTCATGGAGTTCCCTCAAACATCCACATTTTTCTCACAAATATCATCAAAAAAGTCTGCCCTTTAATCTTACTTTAACTTTTTTATTAATACATCAGTAGTTATACCTGAGTGCTGAAACTTAAAGATGTTGGCTACCTGACGCACTTTTAATGCTCGCGTGTTATCAACTTAAATCAGATCAATCAGTCACCAGGATTGTATATAAAGGCAATATCAAACGAGCTAAACAAAGAATATTCAATGCCTTTATCATTTTAATGAGGTTTAATCTAATGTTACATTTGGAAAATATTGTGCAGTACTTCACTCAATTAAATGTCAATTATCTGTAAGACAAATTTTAGATCGTTTACACAGGAAAGACAATTTTTTCATTAATTAGAATTGTCACAAGAGTTCCAGAAATTTTAATTTTACGATCCATCTTATTTACATTTTATATCAACGACATTTTTCTAAATCTTCTTTTTCGATCAGCTAAGTCAAGACTGAATTAATACTTCTCGAGTTTAGTGCAAAATAAATCAAAGTACTTAAAACATAATTCTCAAATTGATCTTGTATAAGCCTTACAAGTACCCTATGCAACTCTTGCATGATGAGACTAAATTTAAATACATGTTTTAAACAGGTTGGTAATTATTCGTCAGCTACTTATTTTATGAGAATTAAATACACTATTTCAGATAATCCAATTCAAATATGGACAACTATGAAGTTTAATTTAATACTATTGGAGATAAAAGTGATATAAGAGCGATACACGAATTAGCATTAACATTTGTCTCCATCTAGCGATGTTAATCATCATTGTTCGTTCCTTCTTGTGTTCGCATGTTTCGATTCAATTTTGTTCTCTAATTTTCTTCTCACGTAATTCTGATTGTATTTTATATCGTTCTTAAATAAATAGTTTTTGTGCTTTGTATATAATTAATTACGACACTATTCGTCCACGGATCTCCTCGCCTTCAACAAATACCACCTGATCCTATATAACTCCTTTATACAGATTCTTGAAATCTTTTCTTTAACCATATTCCTGAGTCTTTGTATATAATTAATTAATAATTAATTACGACACTATTCGTCCACGGATCTCCTCGCCTTCAACAAATACCACCTGATCCTATATAACTCCTTTATACAGATTCTTGAAATCTTTTCTTTAACCATATTCCTGAGTTTTTTTTATAAAATCTGATAATTCTAGTTTTTTCTCAACAAGTTTTAAGTAACACCAATTGTATAAATTAAATGCGGATTATGGGTGTGCAATAGATCTTGACATCGTGACACATTCATGATAAGTAGTAGAAAAAATATTGAATATTTTTTACATCACACATGATGATCATACAAAATACAATTGAATTTGGAAATTTGAGGGTTTAAAAATGTGTACAAAAATCTGGAAATTTAAAAAAAAATTGGTAATTTAAAAATATGAAAATTTGGATTTCTGAAAAGAAAATTTGACAATTTGAAAAAATTTGAAAATTAGTCATTTTGGAAATTTGATGGGGAATATGACTTGCAAGTATCCATTTTATCATACTTGTTCTATATAAAAATACATTATGTTCACCGTGCTCATGAGTATTTTGCATGTATTTATAGTAATTATAGTACAAATTGACCACCTTATATATGGCTGATGTAGTGAAAACCATATAGTATATCTGTTACGGTGAAAGATCGAAATTGGAGAATGTCGACATTCACCGGTGAATGTAGACATACACCAAATACGTCGGTGAAAGACCGAATATTTTATTACATTCTTGTACATTCAGACCTTCACAGGTGTATGTCGACAATCACAGATATGCTCTGGTGAAGGTCCAAAAGAGAGAAGTCGACAAAGAAGCGACTGGCTCTTTTCCGCCAAATCGTGTGTTCTGCTGGGAGTCAGTCAGCTTTGTCAATCTTGTGCAAGCTTTGATAATGCGAGCAACGTTTTCTTAATTTTTTTTCCAATACCGTAATTTATACTGAATGGATACTGCAATAAATCGTTATCTTTTTCTTGAAAAGTTAAATGCATTAATTGCGGGTAAACGAGAAGACAATTGTTTTTATTTTTCTCAAGAAAAGTACTCTAAAATACTTTCTGAATTGGTTTCTGCTAAAACTAAGTGCAACACACCTTTGGATTACAGACGATTAAAATGTTTTGACGTTTTAAAAATTAATGATGAAAGGAAATTAATTGTACCATTAAAATCGGGGGAAACGAATATACAGTATTATGTTACCAATGAAAAATTGTTCAGTATACTATATGAAACTCACGCCAGAATAGGCCACGGAGGAAGAACACGTATGCTTAGAATGTACTATGTGTTTTAAATTCTTGGTCTCTCCTCTCAGAAAGAGAGGCGAAAAAGTTACGTCACCCTTGTGACGTTTTATAGCGACTGAATTACGGAGAAGAAAATATAAATCTCCGACATGTTCAACATTCACCATTATTGCATGGTGAATATCGACATTCACCGGTGTAAGTCCGAAATAAGGGTATTTAGCAAATATTTCGGACATACACCAAGCGACTATGTGAATGTCGACATTCACCAGATTTCGGTCTTTCACGGTAACATATCTATGTATGGTGGAAACCGTATAGTGGCGGAGTAGCACAAACTGGTGGAATAGAAACCTGCAATGTTAACGGCAGTACATGAAGTATAGTTTGTTGGCATGCACAAGAGATGCTACTACTATTTTCCTGAAGCGCCGTCCTTCGGTGCTCATGAAAAGTACTATGTATGTTGCGTAAAAGTCTATAATGTAGGAATATACAAATCCTTAACCTTCCTAAAAATGTATTTAGTATCAAAATAAATATCTTATTTTTAATGAGACTACAGAAATTAAAAAAAGATTTAACTACTATTTTTTAAATAATCGAGTTAAATTAAAATAAAATTGTTATGAACAGTCTATACATTCTATATACATTCTATAATATAAGCAATTGATTGTAATTATGCGTAAACTGTAAAAAATAACGGGCTCACTTGATTACATTATATTTCCAAGCTTATATTTTAAAGACTCACATCTTATAGTAGTAAAAAAATTAATAATTATTATTATTAAATACATGAGGTACATTTATAAAGAGTTAAATTTCAAACTTTATATACAAGGTTCATCCGTAATATTTCGTTTGTCATTTTTTGGATTACTGTTTACGGTTAGTTTTGTCAATAATAACAATATAGTATATAATTTATTGCAAATGGTATTTTTTATTAGCAAATTTTTGAACGAACCTTAAACTAAGGACCGTCTGGCCTATTTTATCCCCCTTCTGTTTCCTAGTTCTCCACCGTCATCTTTACTCGTCCTTGCTAAAGTAACGTCTTTCTGCTAGTTTGACGTTTATTAGATAAGCAAGTTTGTTTCGTATACGAATTTAGTTTATTTCAATTATCAAATTACCTGACGATATAGTTTATTTTTTCATCTGTATGCCTTGCGTACGCTTTCATCTTTTAAAATTTTCCATGAGTAAGTAAGTTGTTTATTGATTTCGATACGATACTTTATAACACGCGTCAATATTCGCAATCGCTTATTCGTGAATAAAACAAGTTTATTTGAAATTTATTTAATTTCAACGAATTTATAAAATTATATTACTGAATTTGACAAGTTTTTAAATTTGATTATTATGATTCATTTAGATCTGGATCTTTTGTTTAATTGAATTTTCAAGCTTTCTACTTATTTATTATATTCTAACATTAATCAGGTAATTATTAATTTTTATTCTAAGATATTTAAGACCTTCTTAGTCATGTTTTTACACATGTTAACAAAAATAATACAATAATTGAAAAGTATGTTCATATTTTACATATTTATATTACAGATGTTTCTATAGTCTTCCTGCAGCTATTGGTAATGCAAAAACCCTTCCTTAATTCAAAGTCTGCAAGATGGTATTCATCTTCAAGATTTAATTTTAGCTGAGAATAGAAATGTGAAAAATGACACGATACTTGAAAGTGGTATATAGCATGCGACTTAACATCTTCTATAAATAAGTAAGAAGTATAATAACATTCAAATTGTACCAATATGTTAATTAATTTTTTAATTTTTAATATGTGTAAAACATTTATTCCACTGTTGTAGAGTACGACGAAATTGATTTAGTTTTGTGGTGATGCGGGGATGTGGATCTGTTTTGATCCTATAGAAAGCCGAGAAGGCTGGCGTGCTTCTATTTTATTCTTTGTATTTCTCTATTGGACATCTTTTGGTATTAATGGCAGTCTAACAAATGCATCCAACATTCATAATAGTGTTACAATTACTGTTATTGCCAGTTTCAACGCATCATGAAGATGACGAATGTAGGAATGTGACCACTGACGATAGAGGGGGTATGTATATGTATATTACAGTATTGCTATGTATTTTCAATTGTTTGTATATTTTGGTTTTAATTGTTTTAAATTCTCCTCATTTTATTTTTAAATACGACTATTTAAGATTGTAAAGAATCTTGTTTAATAATTATACTATTGGATGAAAGAAAGGCCTCAATATTATTACAATTTCAGAAATAGTATATCGATTACAAAGTTAGATATTTTCTATATATGGTAAAATTGTTGTGAAAATGTCTATTATATTTAAATGTCTATTATATATTTGATATTTCTCTTTTGCAATTTCATTATTACAATTGAAATTATAAAATAAATTAATAAGTAAAATTAATTGTAATCAAAGCATTTCTGTTTTAGTGTTTTGCTGAAATATAGAAAGCAATATTGTATTTTAATGTTGTTTTTTTATCATTTATTTTACATTTACATATAATTTGAAAAAAGAATACCAAATACATAGCTTTATTATAATTATTAATATATATAGATATTAATAAATTTTAGTTTGATTTCCAATAGTTTGGTTGAATATCATTGCTTGATATTAGAGTAGTTTCCTCTATTATTACTATTTGTCTCCACAAATGAACCATACAAAGACATCTGTTTCTTATATCAATTTGTGTTTAGCTTATAATTAGATGTGACTTAGAATCAGTTGAGTAATATAGATTCACTAAATTAGTCATATATTTATATATTTATATCATATATTTCCATCGTTTACATGGGAATCCAAATTTTAATCTCATTAAAGTTTGATGAAATTTATATGGTATGCGCAGGAAATATTGGAGAATTTAATTAAATGCATTATACAAAAATAGTTAATTAAGTGCCCTAATGTCTTTCTTACATCTATATAATTATGATTACATCTATATATAATTATGATTTTGTCTAATATTTACAAAATACTCTACAGCTATTGGTCTGTCAGTGGTTAATCAAGGATCTGGTTCTCCTCATTCGCCAATAGTGCCTCCACCTTTTCTCTATGGAGTTCTTACCTGCCAACCATATCAAGGAATTTCTGTGAACCACATATACTTTCAACTAGCCAATGCCTTCTTTCTACTGTCACATCTTGCACCAAGTGGCATACATGGCGTACTTTATTTAAGGTGCACTCTACTCGTGGGCTGTGCCTTTCTTGCTTTGTGGGGCTGGACAATAGCTTGTTGGCTGGACGCTGCTCTTTGGAATGCTCTGTTTGTTGCCATCAACTTCGTCCATGTATGCACGCTTCTTTACAAGCTCAGGCCTATCAAGTTTTCAAGGGAAGTTGAAGAGGTAAGTTAAGAAAGTAGTTGAAAACAATAATTATTTAATGTGATATTATAACATGTTACTTGTTATTAAACAAGATGTTTCAAAAATATCCAGTAAGCTGAAATATCCAAATTCTTCTATAAAAAAAAGTACTTCACATTTTTTGTTCTGATAAAATTGGAGATTTAGTATTAAATTTATACTTAGAAATAGTCAGATTCATATTCAGAAAGAATTAGTAATCTTCGAACTTTTAATCTTCAATTGAGTAGAGTTAAAGCATTTTTCCATTAGGTTAGAATGATTTCATAAACACTTTTATCTTTGTAAGTATGTACTATGGTCTGATATTCTTTACAAGTATATGAAATATAAACAAAATTAGTGATTTGACGATTGTTCTCAGCCTTCATTAGATATACTCTAAGATTGTGAACACGTAACTAGTCTTCATTCTATATGAAAGTATGAGATTTGCAATATGCTATATGCAAGTATAATTATTTTTAGTGTAGTTCTCAAAAAAATGTGCATAATTTTGCTTATTTGGAATGATTACTGTATCCCGGATCTTCTTGATTCGAGCGGGGGACAACTTAACTTAAGACCGTATAAATAAAGTGTAGTGTAAATCTGGGGATCAGTGTTGTTAAAACAATGTGTATTGCATCGAAACGCCGCAACATATGAACAGTTTTAAATCAACATTGATTCATTCATGTATGTAAACATCAATGGCACAGTAATTATAAAATACATATAACATACTAATGCTGTTTGAATACAATTTATGTGCTTTCTGATACATGAATAACGATCTCTTAGTTGGATTTACATTACTGTTGTATATATTTTTAAACGATTTATTTCAATAATGAATATTTTAAATCTTGGAGAATCTTATTACTTCAAATTTTCGAAATTTGGTCTTATGCTGCATTATAAATCTTATATTAATCTCTTAAAGTACGTACTTTGGTTCTAAGACACAAGCAAGCAACATCTTTTCATGTGTTCTCGGTATGACCATATCTGTCTTTGCTACTTTTGATTGAGAAAATAAAGAAAATTATACGATCACAGCAGAACCATAGAGGAAGAATGTTGAATTTAAATTGTATATCTGGGCTAACTCAGTTCTTAATTTATAATTCCTTATATTTCTAAAACTACATACAAAATGGTACATGACATTTTAATTCTCCTTAACACGAAGAATGTACATAATTCAACTTACTGTTTAATCACCTTAATATACGTATGTATAATAAATTTTTACTGGTATGAAATAATTAAATTTTAACTTGTATGACAAAAATTTATCAGTTCATTTTGAAGCTGATTTTGAGTGTGAATTATATTCATATTCAATTATAGTTTAACTATAGAGTTATAATCCAATAATTAAATAAATATTATTATACATTTTGGTCAAGATTAACTTCTATTGATTTTATAATATGAATATGATTTTATAATATTGTTGTTCTTTTATTACATGAAATTCTCAGTAATTGTACATGTTCTCAGGTATATGATTACAATACTGGGTTTGTTAGATTTATTGCAGTTTTGTCAAAAATTGACAATGTACACTTTTTTATACGTGTGAATTATATTTGAGTTACTATACAGTTTAAATTCAATTGATTTGTTCTTAACAAAATTAAAAAAAATTGTAATTATTGAAAATCATAATAACTTTTCCAATTTTCGGTATTTTTAGTTTGATATGGTTATTGGTGAAATATAATTTTTGGTGTATGAATGCATTAGATGCATAGTGGCAATCCAGTGTTAAAAAAAGTTTCTGCTTTTTATATTTTTTAATTAAGACAAAAATCTTTAGACTGAAAAAGAATATTAATAAATTTTTAGTTTATATTTAGTCAGACAAAGTTTAAAATATAATATTTTTTTTTAATTTTTCTTGCAACATACTTTTTATATGAAGTTCACATCATACTTAACATTAATATGGGCTGTCATTTTAATTTAGGTAATAGGTGAATGTAATCATCTCTTACAACTAAATAGTTGTAAATTTTGTAACCAAGTTTTTAAAAATGGGTTTATTACACATAAACAAATGTTGTTTATTACACATGTAACTTTAGAAACTGGTTTACTGCTTTATTAAATATCAATAAATGCCCTTATTCAAGCAATAATAATAATTTATAGAAACATTTTGTTCCGTTAAAGTAACATAATCTAAAGACATTTGAGTTTCGAATTTATATTTGTATTTAAAAAACAAGGTGGTGATACACAAGTATAATAGTAAGCTTCTTTCAAGCTTCAAACAGCAACTGAAGAAGACTTTTTCCTTTTGACTGAAGTATTGATCATGATCAGTGGTACAGGAACAAAAAATTGAGGTTTGATAAAATCTACATTGCTAGAAATCAGAAGCATGTAGCTTGTGGATGCATCAAAGTATGACAACTTGGTAACAGGTGAATGACACTTTCAAAACTTTGAATGCATGTCAAACTATGTCCGAGAAAATCAATATTTGCAACATTGATAATAATATCATTATTACATTTTATTATCATAAACATTTCAATAAAATGACATATAGATTATGTTGACTTTGACAGGCAATAAATCTAACATTTAATGTTTTCATTCCAGTGTGATGTCATATGTGTCCTATTCTTTTTATCTTAACTGTTCAGAATGAAACAAACAATGACTTCTGTTACTGGTAATAGAAATGAGTACTGGTGTAATTAAAATTTTCGTCAGAGATAGGTTAGATCTGGAGTCACAATACTGTACATCAGATATGATCAAGTGAATTTTGAAAATATAGAAATACGTTCTATGCTTTTCATGAGAAGGGTTACTCCATGTTTTGGGATGATCATACCTACACCGACCCTTATGTAGAATCTGTAACATTTGATTAAACGTAATGACAATTAACTACTAAATATTAATTTCTTTTAATATTTATATACATGTACAGAAGTGAAAATATCTGCTTACTCTACAATCTATAATTTGCTTTGTACTTGAGTTACAGCTTGAAGGTATATGAGAAACTAATTTCCTTTTTGTGGAAATAAATCCTACTTAATAGTACTGCTGTACATTTTTCCAAAACTTTTATTATTTTTTAGGGATGAATGAATAACAATTCACTTTTGTTTATTCTTCTTGCTATATCCCTATTTAAATATCTCTTCTTTTTCATTTTTTAAATATTTTATATTACTTCAGGATCAAAACAAATTCATTGGCCAATTTTTTGTTTTGTAGACATTTCTTTTACATTATTATTAATGGTGTAATTTTTTTTATGTTAATTGCGTTACATAAAATGAACATGAAACCAGGATACATGTTACACAAAAATAGTTCAGAAATAGGATGCAATTATTCAAGTAATACAAGAGCATTTGTATCCTTTTTCACACACTCTGAATATTTTTACACTTATAAAGGGCATCCACTTGATAAACGCCGATTTTGATGAAATTTTTAGATGTTATAGAACTCGAAAAGATATTTGACACGTATTTTTTTTTATCGGCAAACATCTACTCTGAAGTGGTGAAAATAACTTAAAGTTGGGGTTGCAAAACATATTTTCTCGAATATCTCAGGAACTATAAGGCCTAGACAAAAAATTCAAAGCGCAAATTTTTCTGTTTTGGAAGGCCAATAATATGGCGTAAGTAGATTTTTGAAAAATTTATTTGTTTAAAAAATATGTTAAAAATTAGCATTATTTTGCAAATTTTTTTAATAAAACGTTGTACCATTTTGATCAAGTTTTACATCCATAAACCAAAGAAAAAGTACGGATAAATTGGAATTTTTAATTTTGCTTGTGAGAAAAATATTACTGTCGTTGAAGTTGTACGTACATTTTAAACCGTCCGTTCAGTGCACGACTGATTTCTATACATAGTATTCTGGCAATTGTATTAGATTGCATTTTATATACTAATTAATTTAAAAAGAAGAACTTGAGGGTCCACATGTATCTCTATCAAAATATGGGCTCCGCGTCATGGGTGTGTATTGGTGACAGTATTCGACGCACGGAAGATCTTAACGCTTGAATTGTACTTATGTAGAATGTAATATCTTCATAATAATGTAGAGTATATGCAATTAAAGGAATTGCATCTGTTGATTAAGAATTGCATCGCAATTGCAACATATATATTGTTAAATTGAGTAACTTTGAAAACATCACTTTTTTTATAAATTTTTAATTTTTAAAATTTTGATAAGAAATATCATTTCACCAGATAAAATTTTGACAGTTTTAAGCATTAAAAAACGCTATTGGATTAATACAACCTTCTGATGTATATGGTTATATAACATGGAAAAATTTTGCGCATGAAATATCAAATTTTGTACCTACGTTAGATTTACAACATAATTATTAAAATGTGTCCTTTTATTCATAATCAATTGTCCGCACCTAGGTATAAAAAACTGTCTAAGTACGCATGGTTACGGCATGGTTGCATCAGTAGCAGACTGGAACATTTTGATTATCCCGTTGACTTTAGTTTCAATCAAATTAAAACTATGTCACTTAACATAAAATGTAATCTAAACAATTGTTAGAATACTATGTATAGAAATCAGTCGTGCACCGAACGGAAGGTATAACTTTGTTGTGTGACCAACTCATCGACAAGATAGGTATTCTATCATTTCATAAATACATTGAATCATTCTGCGACAAACATCCTAATTACACTTCCCAATCATCTACTCATCTAGTCTTCTGTACCTTCTTACTCATCCTATCCTATGCATACAAATATGCATCTTTCGACATTCTCCCAATTAACCATTACTTGTATTTACGTGCGAAATTTATCGTTTCCGAATAAAGCTTCCGAGTTTATATTATAAGTGGTGTACTTATTCCTTCAATCCGGAATTCAACAACTTCAACGACAGTAATATTTTTTCTACAAGCGAAATGAAAAATTCCAATTTATGTATGTGAAATTCGATCAAAATGATACAACGTTTTATTA